GATTAAACAAGGAAATTCAGAGTTTTCAATGATCAATCTAAATGACATAATTATGAGAAACTATAAAGTACTCAAGGGTTTATACATAAAATAAAATAAAAGTCAAACTATAATACATATATCAATTTTCAGATATATAAAAATCAGAAAATTCCCAGCTCAGAATACAAAACTGTTTACAAAATTACAGTATTTTAACATCTTTTAATACTTTGAAATCATTTGATAATATTATGACAAAAGAAAAGAGAGCATAGTCTTAAAGATAGACATATTAAATAGATAGATAGAAAAGAACAGAAGAAAAAGTAAAGTAAAAAGAGACTATAATAGAATAAAATTATTAAAAGAGAGTATATAGCTGTTTTAACAGACTATATCTAATCAATTTTCATCTCTTCATATTTAAATATTTCTGAATTCAGTCATTTTCTTATAGCTGCTTAAGTTTCTGATAGAAAGTCTATTATATATTTAATTTCTATATCAGTTGAGAATAAGAATCTCATATTTAATTGATTTAAATCATACTTCTTCTTCAATCTGACTCTGAGACTATTATATAATGCATAATATATTATAATATACTCAGAATTTTCATTTATATTGTAGAATGAGCATTCTGTTAAATCAAATCTATCATTAAATCTTTATATATAGAATTTGAAATAATCATGTTCTAGTTTAAGCTGATTATTATTATTATTATTCTTCAATTATAGATGTATACAGTCAGAGACTATGACATTTATCTAAGAACTTTTAGTTCTCAGGGTTTTTCCTATATCTATAAAGTCAACTATTATACATTCATTAATTTCAGATATGTAAAATCAGCAGAAAATTCCAGCTCAGAATATAAAAACTGTTTACAAATTGCAATATTTTAACATCTTCTGATACTTTGAAATCATTTGACAATATCATGACAAAAGAAAAGAGAACATAGTCTTAAAGAAAGACACATTAAATAAATACATAGAAAAGAATAGAAAAGAAAAAGTAAAGTAAAGAGAGACTATAATAAAAGAAATTATTAAAAAATAGTGTATAGCTGTTTTAACAGACTATATCTGATTAATTTCCTTCTCTTCATATTCAGATATTTCAGAATTTAGTCATTTCTTATAGCTGCTTGAGTCTCTGATAGAAAGTCTATTAAAGTATTTAATTCCTGTCTCACTTGAGAATAAGAACCTCATATTTAATTAATTTAGATCATACTTCTCTTTCAATCTGACTCTGAGACTAATGTATAATACACAGTGTATTATAATATACTCAGAATTTTCATTTGTATTATAGAATAAGCATTCTATTGAATTAAATCTATCATCAAATCTTTGTATATAAGACTTGAAATAATCATATTCTAGTTTCAGCTGAATTATAGATAAGAATATTTTCTTTTTATATTTAATTGAACAAGATTTTCACTTGAATTTTGTTTTAAATCTTGAATAATGTATACTCTTCTTTTATTTCTGTCAGCTTTCATTTTACTTATTTAAACAAGATTCTTTTATCTTTCTCTTTATAAAAGATCAGAATACTGTTTTTTAAATAGATCTGCTTAATTCTAAACTCTTTTTTACTGCTAAATCAGTTCATTCATTGTCATGAATATTCATATAAGCAGAAACTTAGTGTAGATGAATTATCAGTTTTAATATTCTTCTCTTTTGAATTTTTAAAACAGAGTTTAAAATCAGTTCAGAATTCATTTGATCATTATAAATCTAATTATTTCTAAGTCTTTTTAAAGTAGCTTGACTATCAGACAATATTTATATCTCTTTCAAACTATTTTCTCTTTTATAAGATTTTATTTCATTGAGTTTAAAAGCTTTCACTATTACAAATAGTTCAGCATCAAAGACTTTAGATTCACAGTCTAAATTTCACAAATCTGAGATAAAATTAATATTATCTTCAGTATAAGCAATGCTTGTATCTAATCTATTTAAAGTCTCATTTTTTGAGTTCTCTGAATAAATCAGAATAAAGTCTTTTATATTAATTATAGAGATTCTCTTTAAATACTGTTCATATTCTCTCTCTTTAGATAGTTTACTTATTTACAAATCTATGAGCGATTCACACTTTTCTCTTCAGAGAGATATCTTCTCATGATCAACTTTTTCAATATTTAATAAAGAAAATTGATTTTTAATTAGTCAGTATAGTCAGTATAGTTGAGAGAGTATTTTCTTTGAAGAATTGTTTTCATTTCAATCAAGAAATCTATTTTAATTCAGTTCATTGCCTGAGTTAATTAGTGAAAATGAAGAAGAGACTCTTTCTCTGATTATATGATTTAAGCTCATCTTTATAACTCTCAGAGTATAGTGCATACAGGTCTTTTCAAATCTAATAGTAGAAGAGAGAATTGACGCTTCAATTTTCATTACTTTAATAGAAGATGATTTGAATGCTCTCAGAACTCTTCTTAAAACTCTGTTTTGCAGACTTTGAAAGAGTTCAGTGAAATTTTCTTAATTATTTCATCAAACTTGAACTTTATAATCAGCTACTGAGAAAATACAGACTATATATAACTGTCTCATAGTCTGAAAGAATAGATCTCTCTCTATATTTAATAGTCTGATTATGCTACTTAATAGTCTTTCTGTCTTGATAGTTCTTTGTTGAATATAATATTTAAAATTCAACTTGAAGTTTAACTATACTTCTAATTATTTAATATTTAAACTGTATTTAATCTCTTTATTTAAAAGAGTTAGATATAGTTCTTTCTTATTAAATCTAGAAAAGAAATGATTTAACTTAGTTTTATTTATATTAATTTAAATTTAATTGATATCTGCTCTAATAATGATTTTCTTTACTATTTTTTCAATCACTTCTAAATTCTCTTTGATTGTTTTTAAACTGTAGACTAGATTAATATCATTCACATAACTTAAAGATCTCACTATTTACATATTTCTATTCTTGACTAGATATGCAGTGTATATTACAAATAAAATGAGTGAGATTAAAGATTTTTACGTACTTCTATTTTTATCTCAGTTTTATCTTATTTTATTTCATCAAAGAATAGATATATGATTCTTTTAAATATAAAACAGTTAACTTATTTTATTAGAGAAAGTGACAGTTTTAACATCTTCAAAGTCTTAATTAACTTTGACTTTGAAACATGATTAAATATATCTTATATATTAATAAAAACTGCAGTTGAAACCAGATCTTGATACTTTGCTATTTAAGTGTTATAAACAACTGAGAGAACTGTGTTAATTACAGAGTATTTTTTTCTATCTCTCATTTATTCACTAAATAGAAGAGAATCTTTAATAGAGTTTATAAAAGATAGTTAAGTAGCTATTATCTTTTCTAAAACATTTTCTAGACAGTTTAATAGAGATATTACTCTATATAACTTAAGAATTGAATCTTTTCTATTAGATTTTACAAGAATTACTTCAGTGACTTCTCTCCAGCATTCAGAATAATACTCATTTTTCAAGAGATTGAAAAAGAGCTTAAAATATTCATTCTTTAAGTAGAGATATGTATTTTGAATAATTAGATAATTGATTAAATCAGGTTCTGCAGCAGTTTTAGTTCAACTTGAGAAGATAGCTGACTCTAATTCATCTTATGTAAGCTCAGATCATTCTCAGTTATTTTTATTAATATAGTTACAAAGTGATATATTCTCTCTCTCTGAATCTGAGTCTGATAAGTTTTGAAAGAGAATTCTTATAAAAGCTTGACATTTTTTCTTAAAAGAATTTACTATATATGATTCATTCTGAAACTCATATTCTAAGATTAAAAGTTTTGCTACACTTCTTGTTTTAGTATAGTTAAAAGCTTTAAAAACTTCTTTTTCTTATGCTTCTTTAAGAGATTTGTTTCAGTAGTCTGTTTAAGCTCTTTTAATATCTGAAAAATATTCATTTCTGACAGTTTTGAACTTTTTATCACATAGTATATCATTCTTTCAATTTCTTCTAACAGAAGCTAATTATTTTCTTTTAGATGTGATATTCTCATTTCATTAAGATTTGAAATACTCAGAAGACTTTTTCTTTGAAATATTATCTCTAACACTTATTAGAATAATAGATGTAATGAGCTTTACTCTATTCTCAAGTATTTCATTTGAGATATCTTGACTGAGATTTCAATATAGCTTACTCTGCTTTTCAGATTTTAGCAGTTTTATACTTTCTTCAACTGCTTTTCAATAAGCTTTTTCAAAGTTATACTGATTAGAGAGAAGAGAATTTTCACTCATTTATGTTTCACTCAGTTTAATATTAAATTAAATAATCTCATGATCTGATTCTGATGTCTTATTTAAATCAATAAATCAGTTAATAAGTCTTTTTTCAATTAAATTTTATGACATGAAGATTAGATCTATAATATATTTCTATTTCATATCT